TGAGACTAAGTTTTTGAAAGCACTGTTATGGCGGGGCAAAGGTGAGAAACACTTCCAAGGAGAGGAACACTCTCAATAAAGTGATGTTATTGTTATGCGTGCTGTTGGCAGGACGAATCAGAAGATGCCCTTTACAATCTCTTATTTGGGTGTGGGCACAACCGATCCAAAGAGGCTGTTTCTGACCCTTCATTCACAGATGGCGGGAAGCCAAGTGAGCTTTCCTGTAGGACAGTTTACACATGGCATAAGGCCAAGTGAGTATTCGATAGGACAGCTGCCTCAGGACCTTATTTGTAGGAGAGGAAGATAACTTGGGGATTTTGCGTACAAAGACCCCTCCTGTTATTCTGAGGGCTGCTGTGAGCTTTTTTGCCAGCCCACTCGCATGCTGTAGAGGGTACTTCTTTTCCACCTACCACAAATACACACTCTCACTGTCTTTTCTGAATGATTTGTGCTATTCTTTGTTTGCAACCTCACAAACGTGGAAAGAAGCCCCATGGGTACTCTTCATCTGGTAACAGTGTCACCAGACAGGGTCCTACCAGCACCCCCCAAAGGGGCAGTGGGGACCTTGATTCCCTCCTTCTCATGCTGTAACCCAAGGAAAAGGAATTTTCCTCCTCCTCTTCCCAAAGCATGTGTTCCTTTGTCTCTAGACCTTTGCATAGACCCTTTTCATTCCCTTGTGCTCTGCCTACCACTTCCCTCTGTTTCCATTCAGCATGAGTTCTTGCTTTTGATGATACTGGAAATTAAAGTAAAGCACAAATTTCCAGAACAAAGCTTTCACTTGAAGGATAGCGGGGAAACAGTAAAGGACTCCTGCTTAGGTAGCTGGAGAGGGCACTCTGTGCTACATGGGTTCAGACTTTTTCACCAACAAAGTCAGGAGGACAGCTTTTAAGGCTTGGCTAGTGGGCTGGGTCAGGTCAATCATTACTTCAATCCTGTTGTCATAGTTCTAGAATCTTCATGGCTGAGCAATGATTTAATTTCCAGGACTGGAATAATTCTGTTGTGGTAGTCTCACAACTCCACTTTTCCTGACATCTAGGTGATTGCAGGTTTGGGACAATGGCTGGAGGCTTCTGCTTGTAGCTGACTGTCCCTGGAAATGCCCCAAACTGGTGTTTTCAATCTTGACTGGGGGTGAAAATATGCAAATTCGGGGGAAATAAACTGTGTTTTGCCAGTTTTAAACAGACACTAAAAATGCTCAACACTTCCATATGCAGAGTTCAGAAGAGATTTGACACAAGATTTATAATAATGAAGGATATGAAATGAACTTTGCTCTCTTAGTTACCTACCCGGCATCTATTAGAGACATAGGTCACAGCAAAAATGGCTTTGAAGTCCTGGTTGTCCCAGAAGAACACCCAAGTCATGCTTTTAATAAGCGGAAGGCCAGGATCCAGGGTCTGTCTGTTCTCCATTCCTACAGTGCTCCCCGACTGGGTTATGACCATGTCACCATCTCACAGCAAGACGGTGTCTTCATCTCCTGGTTCCTATTTTGTGCTTCCAAAATCCTTTTTCTGCTATAGCACTTACCACAATTCCTTATAACTCAAATCATCTTATTTTCTAGTCACTTTGAGGGAAGGAACTCTCTTATGTTCTGTCTTCAAACCTGTTTTAGTGCCTGGCTCACTCAAGAAATCACTCATCCCCTTCTGCCCTGTGTTCTTTCCCATGGTATTCACAGAACCCTCTGACAGATGGCTGCCCGTCCAAAACAGACTATTATGTGGATATCCACAAGCAAGTTTTGCTTTTGAATATTTGTATTTTTTTCAGCATAGAAAATAGTAAGGTATGGAATAGGTCTAAGAATTTATGACAAAGAAATACAGGCCCATGGGATCTCCTGTGGCAATGCACTAAGCACAGCATTGATTATAGAGCCAAACTCTTTGTTCCATGGGTTCCTGTGTTCATTGTCAGGTTGAGTGAGAGACAAAGCAGTCCCATTGTGGCCAGAATAAATTATTGCTGAGATTAGTAACCACGTAAGCTGACCTGTAGACCTACAATAGCTTTCTTTTCTGAAGAGGGGTCCTGTGGTAATGCAAGGATCTATTGATTGCCTGAAGTAGGCTGTGGGCCCCTAGTGACTGATCCTGAAGAGACAGATGGGGTCCCCGGTCAGTCTGTGCAGGCTGACAGCTGCTGCTACCTTGCACAAAGTTGCAAACTTCTGTAATGACTTCATCCTGAAAAATCGCATGCAAACTGTAGCAGGCCAAGAGGGAACCGCCAGATGAGCCTGCTGTTTGGAGGCATCCTCAGTCTCTTCATATTTTAATGCCTGGAGGATAGGGGCCTGAACACCGTCACTAGCCTAGCTTGTGATGGATATATTTGTTACATAAACAAAAGATGTTTTGTAAAATTCCTCCATAATAACACAAAACAGGAGATAGCATAGATCATCTGAAAATTGTAACAAAATACATATGACGAAATTGACCATTTTGACCATTTTTAGGGTATAGTTCAGTACTGCTAAGTTCATTCATATTGTTAAGCAAGTCAGTATCCAGAACTCTTTGCATCTTACAAAACTGAAAATCTACATACCCTTTAATTAACTATCTTTGCCCTCCTCTAACTGCTGATAACTACCATTCTACTTTCTGTCTCAATGCATTTAACTAGTTTTGGTATTTTACATTAGTGGAGTTATGTATTTGTCCTTTTGTGACTAGGTTATTTAATTAAAAAATATCTTCAAGGATTATTCATTTTGTGACATATTTCAGGATTTTCTTCCTTTTTAAGGCCAAATAATATTCCATCCTATGCCACATTTTGTTTATCCATTCATCAAAGAACATTCGTGTTGCTTCTACCTTTTTGCTGCTGTGAATAGTGCTGCTGTGATAATATACATCATTTTTAAATGTCTTATTTCATTTCATATGAGGTAATTGGCCATTTAAATATGAATCTATTCGTTATCCCTCTTTATGTATCAAAAATCATCATAGGCTACTACCCCACTTTTTAAAAACTGTGCCTAAGTTTTGCCTTCTAGGGTTCCCACCCTTTGCAGCTTAGCTTCACAGCTGCCTTGTTCACACAGGTGAGGTATCAGTGGAGGGACGGCTTTCAGAGGTCCGATATATCACTGTCCCATATTGCCTGCTTGTCTTCAACCTTTTCCATTCCTGTCTACTTGGGGACAAAAAAATGTTTACTGTGCCTAGAATGGATCTTTTAGATATTTAAGATAATTACAAGGTTGAATATGGTATTTTAAAATCTCTTAAGTATTTTGTTTTTGACAAAATTTATCTTTTTCTAAATTTTTTTATTTTTTGGTACTAGAGATTGAACTTGTGAGGCAGGCTAAATCCCCTGCCCCCAAATTTTTCTTTTACCACACAGCTAACCATTGGATTAAAGTTCTAAATGGAAAAACTAAGAACTATAGTTATGGTAACGTTCTAAATTTATAGATTCAACTCAATTTCCATAGAAAGTCAGATTAGGATGGGGTAGATGAGTTTGAAGTTCATGAGGAGAAATAAATAAATGAAATGAGTCAAGAAAAATTTAAAAGATATAATCATGGAAGGGAATACACTGCAGTTGTTAAAGGTAGCATAAAGTTACCATAATTCAGTTTCATATGCCATTGAGCACAGTACTCTAAGAAATATTAAGAAACATTTTCTCATTTTCTTCCTGGAATTCTGAATACCCTTTCCAGCGATTGCTAAGGGGAGAAGACCATTCTATGAATGACCTAATGCTATGTTTACAATGTTGTGTGATAGAATTCTATGTATGTGGGAGAAATGCATTGAATTTAGTGACACAAACAACAATTGCTTGTGGGTAGTCCATATCATTTAAGTAGGAAACTAAAAAAAGTAGGAAGTTTAGATTGGAATAGAGGAAATTTTAGTCTGCAAAAAATAGAGGTGTGGGCCATTTCATTTTGGATGAAGTGAATATTAGTAAATTAACAAGCAGCTTTGATTGGTAGATACTCCAGACTTGGGAGTAAAATATAAGTATACAAAACAAGAATATCTTTCCTTACTTTTAGGGCATATCTTCCCTCCCTGGAGAGTAATAGCCCATTGCACCCTTGCGTGGCAGGGTATATTCATTCACTGTTGCTCATTGCTAAGAGTAGAAAAGAGTGCAGAACTACTCTGAAAAGTTCTTTTTCTGCCTAGCTGATGTTCTTGGTTATGTTTTATGCAGACAGAAATGGGATAAATGTCCTTGAAACAATTACACTATGAGAAATCAAGGCATTGCACACATCATTAACATTTCATACTGACTTCAAAAGCACATGATATCGATGCATACCGGAGTGCATATTGCTTACTCTATGTCTGGCAGGAGAGTGATTTAAAATCTAATCAA